GTCAGGAACAGTTAGGAGCTAGGAAGACAAGTAAATATCTGAGAGGTGGTTTAGTGAGTGAGAGCAGGTAGCAGAAGTTATAGGTCTGGATAGGCACCCCATGATTGTAATTGGCCGATACCGTTTATGAAACCACACGCTTGTTAAACTGCAATAAATAAACAAAAGTTTATGTTCCAGTTTAACCCTGACTGGACTGGGTATCGTACCAGGGTAGGGCCCGGGTGGTGGCAGCGAGAAATAAAGTGGTGGCACAGGGATCAATAGACGGTGAAATGTCCAGGGACCCTGTGTGATCGCCACAGGAGTAGCTTTGCAAGCAATATATTTTTCCTAAGAGAGTGCATATTCTATTCTATCACAATCTCTACTTTCCCAAGCAGAACAACACTTATTCATTTAGAGCATTGATAATATGCTCAGCTGGACCCCGGGGCAGAAAATGCATGTACATTAAAACTAAAATTAACAATTTAAACAAAAAATAAAATACTACTGCAACAATGGTATAATTTACTGTAAAATCACAGAATAATAAAACCACAAGGCAGCAGCAAAAACCTTTTTTTTATTTTAAAAGAAGGGGGGCTCCTGTTTTTTAACAAAAATCTTGGCAGTTGGGTGAAATTTGCTGGCTTAGCCACCGTTTCTGCGGGAAGGGATCCTGCCAAATTTGAGACAGGTAGATGCAGGGTTGCTGCTGTTCTGAGTGGGGGCAGGAAGAATGTCTCCTATGCAAACAGAGATGTCAGAAATTAGTGTGCATCCTCAGGATGTTTTGTGCTCTTGCCATCTAACTGGTAGCCTCTGCTTTGCCCACTCCCTTGCCCCCAGGGTCTCAGCTCTTACTTCTGGGTCAGGGTTGGCAAACGCACTCACAATATGTCCAATCCAATTTTCAATCTCCAACCTTTTCAGGGGGTCAATGCCACCTCCGTTCTCCCCTAATTCCCTTCCTCTGTGATCGGGTGTGCTCCAGTTTCTCAGAGCACAATCCCACGAGCATGCCAGGCTGGAAGCCTTCCATAATACACATTATCTATCTGTTGAGTGGCAAGTTCCCACCTCCCTCCTCAGAAATAAAGACACAAGACACCAGAATTTAAGGTTAATGGGTCAAATTAGGCCACAACTTTATTGATTACAGGAATTGAGCGGTATTGGCTTAGGCATTGGTCCTATCAGCTAACTGGCTTCAGCCCGTTTGGTTGAAGACCGGCAAGGGTTAACCACCAGTAGGGGGAGTCCTGCTGATGCACATCGACTAGGGGTCACCGATCGGGGGCGTGCCGTAGGCCCACACCTCCATAGGCTTAGGACAAGGCGACACCCCCTGGAATCCTTTACTGGACTACCCTTCAATTTGGGGGGAAGGTGATGGCGATTCCTCCCCCCACCCAATTCATCTGCATAACAATACCCCTACCAATGCCTAACCGCCAATGCCCAGGAAGTTGTGACGGTTGCTACGAGGTAGGCGAAAAACCAAATGGCTGATCAGCTGGAGCGTGGAGAGGAAAGAGGGAGGTTCTTGGCCACGCCAGCCCTAAATAGGGTGGGCCACACCCCCCGGCCCAGCCGATTGGCTGGCCAGGGGGATGATGCGACCGAGGATTCCCCCAGTATCGCGGGGGCTGTGCGCCACCCCCGCGTGCGTGGGTAGGGGCGTGAAGCCCGCAACCCCACCTCCTCCCTATTTCGGAAGTGGCTTTATCTACTTTGCAAAAATTAGTCAAAGCATATTAAGGATTTTGTTTGGGAACAATGTTTTTCTAGATACTCTGTAACAATCCCACTCATTTTTGAATTTTTGGTTTGATTGGTTCCTGATTGCCTCTGTTATTTTGCTAGTTCTAGATATTCACATAATTTAATTTGCCATTCTTCCTTCGTGGGTCCCCCTCCCCTCCTTTCCAGTTTTTAGCAATCAGCATTCTTGTTGCTGTTGTTGCATATAAGAAAACCCTCCTCTTATCATTTGGCATATCAGATGTCAAAATGCCTAGAAGAAAGGCTTCTGGTTTTTCCACAAATGTTTGTTTAGACTTTTTTTTTAAAAAAAACTCATCCTAGACAATATCCCATTGAAAAAAACAACAAAAAACCCACAACCCCACTACATGTGGTACATTGTTCCCTCCACTTGCTTGCACCTCCACCATATGTTTTGTTTTATATATTTTGGCCAGTTTGCTGGGGGTCATGTACAATCTATAAAGCATTTTCATAATTTTTTCCTTTAGTGTGATCCAAGCAGTAAACTTGAAATCTCTTCTCCATAATTTTTCCCAATCATCCATCTGATTGGAGTAACCAAAATCCTTTGACCATTTGATCATCACATCTTTAACTTCCTCCTCCTTTTTTAATTTTTTTTTTATTAAATTTGCTTGGTAACATAACATTATTATATATATTCTATAAAACAAAGAATACAGAACAAAATTCATTCATACTACAATGCCTAACTACATAACATTAATATATATGGTTTCTGAAAAAAGGCTTACACAACAAAATCAGTTCAAAATACCATCCGGTTTACTTCCCTCTCCCTCCCCACTCCAGCCCTCCCCGCCCCTGGTCAGGCCTTCCTTCTTCATATCTTTATCCATGTACACAGTCTGTTCATTCGAGCTTGTATGTTAGGGTTGGCTTCCTCTCTTTCTATCCAGTTCCTGTAAAATGCCCATTTATTTGTGATTCTTTGGCATTTATTTTCCCATCTATCCTCTGCCACTATCTGTGTGACTATTTCTCATTGTACGTATTCAAAAACATAATCATTCATTCCATTTTTCCATATTCCATTTGGCCTTTTCTTTCCATCCCAAAGCAATAACTGCCATTCCAGCTAGAATCATAATCTTGTACAACTTTTGCTTATTACTCTTTACTTTGTTATTTCCCAGTATTCCCGAAAATAACAAATCCCTATTAACTTCTATGTTTATTTGAAATAATCCAGAAATTACTTTTATAATCTTTTGCCAATATTCCTTAACCAGATTACATTCCCACCACATGTGTGAATATAGTCCTTTTTCCTGACCACAATGCCAGCATTTGGGACTAAACCCTTTCACTATATACGCCATTTGTGCTGGAGTTCTATACCATTTTAATAAAAAATTTCTACTTAATTCTTTATACTTTTCTATTTTAATATTGTTCATATTCTTCATCAGTTCTTGAACTGTGTTTGGATGGATCATACCTTCCTGCTCCCATTTAATCTGGATTATCCTTATCATTCTTTCTTTGTCGCTTATCATCAGTTTATATAACATCCCTGCTATCTCTTTCTCCGTTATTTGTCTTTTGTTCAACACCATATCTATTTTGATTTCTGTCCTCATCGTTTCCTCTGCTCTTTCCGTTTTTATTAAATCATAAAGTCCTTGCACTTTCAGCCAATATTGTTTTCCTATTTTTTCTAAAAAAACTTTTTTTGTAATTAAATTCCCTTCTTCATCGAACATATCTTTTAATTTATAAAATCCCTGATCTCCTAATTTCTTCCACCAACCCGATTCCCTTTGACCCTCTTGCATATATTTTAATGGCGTCCACCTTGAGTATGTTGGCATCCCTTTTGTATTCCAGTTCTTCCACATTCCTAACGCAGTTTTCCTTGGTCCTATTGTCTTCTTAAAAGCCATATTAATATCTCTATTAAATATCCCTTCTCTTCCTATTCCTTCATTTATTTCATTCTCCAGCCTTATCCATTGAATCCCATCCTTATATCCAATATCTATTAGATTTTTCAATTGGAATGTTTCATAATAAAATTCTAAGTTCGGTATTCCCCATCCCATCTCTTCTTGAGATGAATAATTTACTATGTCTGGGGTTCTAACTCTTTTACTTCCAAAAATCCAATTTTTAAATACCTTATTCCATGTTTTGAACCATATTTTCCTAATGGGTAGTGTAATTACTTGAAATAAATATAATAATTTCGGTACCAGAAACATTTTAACTGCTCTAATCCTACCTAGAATAGATAAATTCTTATTTTTCCATGATTTTATGTCCTTCTTAATCTTCCTCCACGCTTCTTTGTAATTTACATCTGGAATCCTAGCAATATTTTTAATAATATTTACCCCCAAGTATTTATTTTTTTTCTTATTGATATCCATCTTTGTCATTTTTGCAATTTCCTTCTTCTCCTCTTTATTTACATCCCAAAATAAAATTTCAGACTTCTCCAGATTTACTCCCAATCCCGACTCCTCTTTAAAGTCCTTCAAAATTATCATAAATTCTCATACACCCTCTAAGGGGTTTGTAAATAATAATAGGATATCATCTGCATACACGTTTAACTTGATTTCTTCCTTTTCTTTCTTATATCCTTTTATCCTTACTGAGTTTCGTATTCTATCTGCCAAGTACTCCATACCCAATACAAATAGTAGTGGTAAGAGTGAACATCCTTGTTTAACTCCTCTTTGTATCATGAATTGATCTGAAACCCCCTCATTCACTCTGACCACAGCCTTCCCTTCTCTATACAATTCCTGGATTGCTTCCACAAAGTTCTCTCCTAATCCTACCTCCCGCATAATATTCCATAAGAACTTATGTCAAAGGCCTTATACACATCCAATTTTAAGACCACCAATTTTCCTTTTACCCTGCTTGTTAATACGTTTAACACATTTCTTATAGGATGGCCTATGTCTCTTCCCTTAACAAATCCATATTGATCTTCCTTAATTATTTTAGGTAGTACCTTTTCCAGTCGCCTTGCCAGGATCTTTGTAAATATCTTATAGTCTTGATTTAATAGGCTAATTGGTCTGTATGACCCCACCTATGTAGGGTCCTTTTGTGGCTTTTCAATCACTACTATTTCCACTAGTTTCCAAGTGTCTGGGGCTTTCCCCCCTTCTAAGATATTATTAAATACTTTTTTAAGTTCTAAGCCCAGGATATCAATTGTTTCTTTATAAAAATCTACCGTAATTCCATCTAAACCTCCCAATCTAGCAGGTGTCTTACAGCGACATCTGTCACCCCATTGATCACCAGGGTGGATTCGGCTGATCTGGCTGGCTAGGCGGGTATCCCCTTCCTCCCTCACTGCTCCATGTGCGTCCCTCCTGAAGCTGCACGCTTGGTGGAAGAAGACGACCATCCCAGATAGAAGGAGTGTACCGTTCTTCAGTCAAGGGTATACGATAGCTGCGCTCCCCTGCTAGAACCTCCAAACAAGCTCAACTTCCTCCTCCTTAACCCCCCTATTTTTTTTTTTTTTACTTCTTTTTATTAGTTTCAATTCACTATACAACACCAAACAATAATAGAACAAAAGAAAAAGAAAAGGACAAAACATTACATAACACACAAAAAACCACACACCAACAAACCAAACATACAGTAATTAAACAACACATCAATAATTGACTTCCTTCAACTCGGTTTTGGACTATATTACAAAAGGTTTTCTTTCTGCAGTTTCACTTTCTTAATCTCTACACGTCGCAGGAGCTATATCGAGCCTACTGTGATTTTTAAATTTCTTACATCTGCTTCAATATATGTCATAAATTTATTCCATTCATTAATAAACTTTGTACCTTTTTGGTTTCTATTTTTGTGTGTCATTTTTGCCAATTCTACGTATTCAAATAATTTAGTTTGCCAATCTTTTACAGTTGGAGTGTTTGGTGTCTTCCAATTTTGTGCTATCAATATTCTAGCAGCTACTGTTGCATATTGGAATAATATCTGGTCTTCTTTTTTAATTTCTTCTCCAATTATCCCCAAAAGGAAGGCCTCAGGTTTTTTTGTAAAAGTATATTTAAATATTTTTTTTAGTTCATTATAAATAAGTTCCCAAAACTTTTTAATTACCTCACAGGTCCACCACATGTGGTAAAAATTGCCTTCCTTGATTTTACATTTCCAACATGTTTTGTCTCCAGTTTTGTACATTTTTTCCAATTTTACAGGTGTAATGTACCACCTGTACATCATTTTTCCCATGTTCTCTCTAAGTGCTGTACAAGCTGAAAATTCCATACCTTTATTCCAAAGTTTCCTCCAACTATCATACTCTAAATTGTATCCAAAATCTATCACCCATTTCACCATTACTTCTTTTATCTCTTCAACTTTGGTATCCCATTCTAGCAACTGGTTATACATTTTGGATAGAATTTTTGATTTGCCTTCCAGTATTTCTACCTGATATCTGGATTTTTTTTTCATTCATCCCGATCTTTTTGTCTTCAGTCCACAGAGCATTAATTTGATGAAATTGAAGCCAACCTGTTAGTTTATTCTTTATCTCTTCATATGATCTGATTTTCCATCCTTTTTCTGTTTTTACTAGAAGATCTTCATAAGTCCATCTTTCACCTTCAATATTTATTTTTTTAGTTGTTAAAATGTCAATTGGTGATAACCAGCAGGGAGTACTTCTTTCCAGTAGTTTTTTATTTCTCTCCCATACTTCCAGCAGTGGCCCTCTAATAATATGGTTGGAGAATCCTTTGTGAACCTTTTCCTTATTTTGCCACAGATATGCGTGCCAGCCGAATCTGATGTTGAAACCTTCCAAATCCAGCAGGCCTGTGTTCTTTATAACAATCCATTCTTTGATCCGACAAAGGCACGAGGCTTCATAATATAGTCTCAAATTTGGAACCGCAAATCCTCCCCTGTCTCTTTGGTCCGTAAGTAATTTAAATTTAATTCTCGGCCTTTTCCCTTGCCAAATAAATTTGGAGACCACTTTCTGCCAATCTTTAAATACTGAGGTTCCCCTGATTATCGGTGTGTTTTGGAATAGAAACAGCAGTTTCGGAAGTAAATTCATCTTAATTGCCGCCATTCTTCCCGACCAAGAGAGTTTTATCCTGTTCCAAGTATCCAAGTCCTTTTTTTATTTCTTTCCAGGTGTTTGTATAGTTATCTTCCATTAAATTTATATTTTTCATAGCCAAATTCCCAGATATCTTACTTTTTTTACTACTTTGATCCCAGTCTGTAATTCAAGATGATTTCTTAATTCTTCCCTCATATTCTTTCTCATCTAGCAGGTGTCTTACATTTTGGGTAGTATTTTCTTTTTGTTCTGTAATATAGCTTTTTCCAACACTGATACATTAAGATCTAATTTGAAAACATCATTTAGTTGATGATACTGTAGCCAATCTGTAATATGATGTTTGATTTCTTCAAATTTTCTCAATTTAAGTTGGTTTTGGTCTTCCTCTAATATTTCTTTATAGGTTGCCCAGTCCCCCCCCCCCCATGTTTTTCCTCTTTACTGAGATAGCCTCTAGAGGGGATAACCACCAGGGGTTTTTTGGTTCCAATAAATTTTTGTACCTGTCTCACACAGTGTATAATGATTTCCGTATTAAATGATTTAGAAAACCCCTGTGTACTTTTACTTTTCCATAGCCCAAATAGGCATGCCACCCATATCTATTGCCCCATCCTTCCAAATCCAATAAATCAGTATTCTGCAAGCCCATCCACCCTTTTAACCAGCAGAGGCAGGACTCTTCATAGTAGAGCCTCAAGTCTGGTAATGCAAAGCCCCCTCTATCTTCAATATCAATTAGTAATTTGTGTTTAATTCGGGGTTTCTTCCCTTGCCAAAAGAATTTTGATAGCTCCCTCTGCCAATCCCTGAAACATCCAGTCCCACCCACAACTGGAATCATCTGGAACAGAAACAACATCTTTGGAAGGACATTCATTTTGATTGTTGAAATTCTCCCCCAAAACGAGAGGTTCAGCCTGTTCCAGATTTCCACATCTTTTTTTGCTTAAAAGTTGTGTAGTTCTTTATCTCCTTGACATCTGAAGGGAGGGTGTTCCACAGGGAGGGTGCTACTGCTGGGAAGGCCCTCTGCGTGGTTCCCTGTAACTCCCTCGCAGTGAGGGAGAAGTCTCTGAGTGTGCATCAGTTTTCAGTTTAGCAGCATAGCAGGTAATAGTAACTGCATTGTGAAGAAAGCTCCCTAAGCCAGCTTTAAGCAAAACACTGGCTCCTTTTCCATGACATGATGTAACCGATCATGATGCTCGATTCAAGGAACCTTCAAGACACTGAGTGCTCACCCCTCCCATCTTGAAGGAGCAAACACCCCCCTCCCATCAGAGGTCTTCATTAACCGGTCTTCACTAGCACTGGCCTTCAAGGACTGATAAAGAGACACCTGTGTTTGGTCTCAGTGCTTAGGAATTTCTAACAATTCTAACACAAATCAGAAAACTCCAAGCTGGATGCAAAATTGTTGCAGGAGATCTTGGAGTTCTTACTGGACCCCAATGGCAAAGGTGGTTCTGTTAGACTATGAACTACCTGAAAATGTATCTTTTTTTTCTTTTTCTTTTGACAAAGTAATAATCATAAATAAATAAGAATAAACATAAGCACCTCACCACCGAGACCATTCCAACCTCCCAAAATTTCAACACCTCTTGCGATGGTTTGACCCCTTTCCGTTTTAACAGTACAAATTCTACAAACACCCTCCATATCTCCTCAAAATCATTTCTCCTGCATATTCCCCGTCTTACCTTAATGGCACATGTTAATTTATCATTAATCGCTATCTCCCACATATAGCTGAATAAAGTATCTTGAAACTGTTTTCCACAGATGCAACAGAAGCAGCAAAGAAAGTTTGCTTTGTCATCACTATCACCACTTGGTAGGCACAACATTGAGCTCTCATCTGTTTTCGGTCAAATTTTGGAATGAGTTTTTCGCTACAGGCTCACTAGCCACCTCAGTGATTGTTTCACAGCTGTTTCATTCCAGAATCATTTGTATACCAATAATAATAATAATAATAATAATAATAATAATAATAATAATAGAAGACAACATAACATCAAACATTAAAAGCTTCCTGAAACAGGGCTGCCTTTGAATGTCTGTGAAAAGCCATCTAATTGTTTCTCTTTGACATCTGATGGGATGTATAATGCAGTTGTCACAATACACAAAGCGCCACAGGCTGACTGATAATAACTGTAAACATTTTACTGGTTATTTCCTATTGTAAAGGTCTAGCCCAGTATGTGCAACATATACAGTTCATATGTATGGTGTATCACATAGGAGGCTAATTCCAATATTAATACATTTCTTCTTTTCTTTTCTTTTCTTTTCTTTTCTTTTCTTTTCTTTTCTTTTCTTTTCTTTTCTTTCTGCTTCTTCTAGTAAGTTCCTGTATAACACAATCCTTAGGTGAGAATAGAAAAGTCCCCAAGTTATCGAGAACAACACAGCTGATGTAGACTGCTGGCACAAGGTGCAAACTGCTAACTTGGGCAGAACAAGGTTTCTGGATAATCTCCCCTATTTCTCCCCGAAGGGCTTCCTCAGCTGATATTAGAGCTATACAATATAAATGAATGCATGGTAATACAAAATTTGGTATCCGAGGTACAATAATAGTGAATAAGATATCTGCTGTATCATTAATAATATTTGTGCACCATATTTTTAGTAAGTATTGAAAAATCCAGAAGTTGTAATTTTCAGTACTTTATTGCTGTCCAAAGACTCACAAAACAATTTCAAAACTAGATACAGTTAAAACGACCAGACAGGCAGGTGGAAAAAACCAAGGCAGTCATTTTGTTTTATCTAGGGCATAATGATCTTTGATTCTTATAACCTCTGAAAGAAACTTTACCACGGCCAGTGTAATATCATTTGACCTGTCTTCCAAAAGATAGTTATATTGGGAGGCTTCAGATTTTCCCGGCAAATTCACCAGTAAGGGTTTGGTCAGTTGATCCCTTGCTTGCTCATATTGCCCACAATGCAGTAGGATATGCTTCATACAATCGACGTCCTGGGAACATAAACAAAGCCTATTCTGATAAGGGATGCCTCTCAGTCTGCCATTTAGAACTTCCGAGGGAAATCCATTTAGTCTGGCTTTGGTAAATAAACGCCGATAGGTAGGTACAGACAAATTCCTAAGGTATGAGGATATCTGAAAGTCGAACCCGTATTGGATTCCAGCTGCGACCGGGCTACAAATTACATAAGATCCGGGATTGCAGGTCGCTATGTGAGATGTCCCAAAGCCTTTGCCTCAGGGATTCAAGGGCAGCGTCGTGACCCAGATGATGTAAGAGGGATGATGGCAGTCCAATCAAGGTGGTTTTCTGGCCATAGTTTTCAGCCATGGGCTGACAAACTTCTCGTTGGTTAAATATATTAATAATCCCTTCCCCAGGCTGAATACTGAGATATTGAGCCAGTATCTCAAGGCAGCCCACCATGCTTTGGTGGAGAGTGGGCATTCCAGAAATAGAAT